TCACAACTCGGACAAGCCGGGCGAGGGTCCATAGGTTTGGGTCGGCGTGATACTGGTACAGTACCAGGAACTCCCTGGTTAAGGTCTTAGGGGCAAGAGATGATGGCTTCAGACGTCGAAACGCTTAGGGGCTTGGGCTTCAAGAAAGGCGTTCATCATCGAGTCTTTCTGGGTTGCAGGGCCTCAAAACCCCTAAACCTTCTTCAACCAGGAGCCTGTACCTGAACACCCTGAACCCTGAACCCCTCTTTGCTAAACCTGAGACCCCGCACTTTGTTGGGAATGGCCTCGCCAAGAACCGGTAGATCTGCAGCCGTCTGCAGACGGTCTAAGAATGCCGTGCCTCCGACTCTTCTGCTCCGGTCTAACCCAAACCAGAAGATAAAAACAGTACAGTAGGAACAAACTCCCTGAGGCTGTCCCGCAAAACCCCTGAACCCGTTTTTGTCGGCCGAAAACCCGAAACCCTGAAGCCCTGCAACCTCCTGAACCCCAATGATGCCCGAAATATGTATGCAAACCCCCCTTTCCGGTAAAATCCACTCGGATGCTTCTCGCCTGACAGCAACATAAAGTAGCACTTGAAATCGTACTTCCAGTAGCTCTTTTCGTCACCTTGATGGTAGCCCTTTAAGGAACAGAAGCCTAATTGTAGCCCTTGTAGCACGTAGCCCTCACAACAGTCATCGCACTAGTCTTTCTAGAAGTCCTTACAGTACCGGCTATCTTAGTCCTCATAGCAACCCTTATCGTGAAAGAAGTAGCCCTTACTTGTGGCAGCCCTTTTCGTAACCTTCAGAGTAATCCCCATAGCCATAGTACCCCCCTATACCCAGAGACTCCAAAACCCCTTAGTTAAGGAATCTACTTTAAGGAATACATGAGAGTATGATCCTTAATCGCAGCTAAGGTATATCCCCCAATAAAGAGGTTCTGGTGTTTTCTGGGTAGTCTAAACCCAAAACCCTAAGCCCTAAGCCCTAAACCCTAAGCCCTAAGCTAGACCCTAAACCCTAAACCCTAAACCCTAAACCCTAAACCCTAAACCCTAAGCCCTAAACCCTAAACCCTAGTCGTCCTTAAAAGAATGAAAGCTTTCCCCCAAGGGAGGCCGAGGCCGCTGCCCTCACGAGGCCGCCTCGCTGGCGCCTTCGGGTTCGATATTGGACACAGGATCACCACAGCTGACGACTGTTAGGCAAGAAAACCGAGAGGGTTTAGGGGGAAGGGGGGAGGGTTGTTCTTCGGGCTGTGTTTGGGGGTGCAGGGGTTTCGGGTTTGGTGGTCGCTTTAGGGTTTCAGGGTTTTGGGTTTGAACGGGAGTCCTTAATGACGGGAACCTGGTCCCTCTCGGGGTTCTACGGAGGAAACAGCTGGGGCAACACTCGCGGCCACTGAATGAAAAAATCTGGAAAAGCTATGCAAGGAACCTGAAATAGAAACCCTGCCTGACACATTTCTGAGATCCGGGCTCCTCGTTTCGCTTCATTGGGTCCAGCTCTAGGAATATGCAGTCCTTGCCCGCAGAGGGTTCGGGGAATTGAGGGGGCTTGAACAACCAGAGTAAGTAGGGTTTGATTTCGGAGGCCAAGCTTTCTGACAAAAATGTGGCCTCAAAGCAATGGATTCCTAGGTTCGATTGCCTTCCGACGGCTCCGATGGTCAATGGATGCTGGAGAGTTCTTGAGTCGTTTACGGCCCAAAGGCTGCCATGTATCTGGTACTTAAGCGATTTCCAACACCTCCTTCCAGAAGCTACCCGACGGCTGAAGAGTTCTCCCTTCGATGCTACCCGTACCAGCAGTGGCGTGGAAGCCTGTGACCCGGCTCCTCTCTTCATCGCAACTAGCTAGAGCCAAATCTGTGAACTATGTCCGGTCACTACTTCGTCCTCTTTCACGATGGAGCCGATATCGCCTGACAGTTCGCTCGAACAGTTCATTGGAGGGGAGACGTAACTCCTCGAGCCTCGAGCTCCATGGAAACCAAGCCCGGGCCCTAAACATAAGCGTTGAGGAAAAGATAGTCTCTACAGCCGCTCAAGACGATCCGACTACTGCAAAGCCTTTAAAGGAAGCCTGCTCTTCTGAATTCTTCTACCACAGGACAAGCTAGCATCTTGGCACCAAGTCTCCATCCTATGACACTACCTTGAGATCGTACAGGCAGAAATGGCGGAGGTACTAGCACCAGCCATGGTTGCACCCTAAACTCCAAAATCCAGGCTCGAAAGAGCAAGCGCTTGAACAACAACCATCCAAAACCGACAGAAAAGCGAGCAACTCGACTGAACTTAAGCTCACCCCCTCTGCAAGCAACGTGCATTCTGAGGGGTTCTGGGCTAGTTTTTGTCCATTTCTGGCCATATTATGGGCGCTCACCGACAGACAGATGTCGTAGATCTGCCTGTCGGTCGGTCGGTCGGAAAGTCAGTCTGTTTGTGTGTCTGTCTTCTTGTCTACTTGTTCCGAAGAATGAGCCAGCCGAGAAGTAAATGCCGAAGCAGATGCACTTGTGAACAGAAATACGCCACCGAAAGCTGTAGGACGTGGGAATAAGAACTTGAAGGCTGGGTTTGGTTTGTTTCGCCTTGTCACGAAGGTCCAAAACTCACAACTTGGAAATGCCGGCCAAGGCTCACAGCTGATGTCCAGAGTCTAGGTCAATCATACACAAGCAATTTCCATGGGGTACAGCTAAGAGCATCAGTCCCGCTAAGAAGCAAAAGCCACAAATTCCCAAAGCCTGACCCCAAAACAGCTATTTTTCAGGCTACATTAAGAATCTATAGAGCCCCCTTCTGCGTTTCGGTCTGTGACGATGGCCGTGCTTTGTCATACCGCTTCAAATGCACCGCGAACCATCGCATCACACAAGTTGGGAACAACAAAGAAGACTAGCAAACGCCGCACTCATGCGCTCGCCGAACTCACCTGGACTCCCAAACCGCCCAAACCTGCTTAGGGTTCAGGATTAAGGGCTTAGGATTTAGGGTTCATGGTTTAGGTTACGTTTGAGTACCCCCAATCTCGGGGCACCTGTGTCGATGCAGTCGAACACTCGGTTCAAGTCCGCCTCAGAGGCCTGATCGAAAGTGTTTTGAATTTTGTCTTCTTGTAGGAGGTTTCCTGGCAAGCTGAGTTCTAGGACCTACCTATAGTCTCCATTGTAGTTGCTTTTGGGGAGAAGTTTCCTGGCAAGCTGAGTTCTAGGATGTAAAACTCAAAGTGTTGGACTTAATTACGCCTCTCTGCTTGGTGTTCATGAGTTGCAGCCTTGTCCCGCAAAATCAGAGTCGCAATTTCAGGGCTATTTACCTCCATTCACAAGGTGTGGTGTCTCCTTGCAGGCCTGGTGTGGTCCGTAAATATGGCTGTGTGTTATCGGTGCCTTTTTTGGCATATGGCTTCGAGGTATTAGATAGTATAGCCATAAGCCGGGAGCCTGGGGAATACTAAGGGCAATCAAAGTCGCTTATAGCATGTATGTGCCTGTACCCTGCTCCGCATTGCGCGGCATTCGGAGCTAACTTCTTGTAGCTTGGGCCCCAAGCTTTGAGAACACTTGAGGCTCGTGAATTAAACAAAGCGGCGCAAACATGATCGATATTCGGGCCTTCTATTTTGCTTCATATTTCCTTTCTCTGGGACCTGATGGTAAAAGCACTCGGTTCCGTGCACGGGGGCTTGAGTTTACGGCTCAGGGTTACCCTACATCCTGGATCAAACGTAACTCGAGGTGGCCTTGAAATCGCGATTCACGCAGAAGGAGACGAAGGTGTGCCGCGCCACCTCGACAGCGGATGTTTTTAACTTCTGTGACTACGTACACAGGTGCACCTCCCCACCCTCAGTCCCGAAGCCCATGCCCGAAACCCCAAGGGCGGCCTTTCCCTTCTTGTTGGCGTCCAAGGCAAGGAAGAAATCTGCCGGGGAGCCAAACTCTTCCCTGATCCACCGCCTCAGCCGGGGATCTCGGGCTTAGGGGGTTTGGGGTCTATAAGGGGGTTTTAGGACTAAGGGTTTAACCATGCCGCTTTTATTTAGGCTCCGGGTGTCTTTGGGAGTCTGGAGTCGGGACTTGGTTGCGAAGTGCTTTCGTGCTTCGGGTTCAGTGGTTGTAGACGAACTTGCTGGGGTTTCTTCCGCCTGATCGGCACTTGCCTTCCAGGGGTCAGCAGTTCCAAGCTTTCGCTGCCTTGGATGTCACTTTCTAGCGTCTCCGACGGCAAGGTTGTAAGCAGCCGGCATGAAGTTGTTCATCAGCTTTCCTGGCAGACTGTGCAGGGCTCCAGCTTTAAAAGTGACCGTGCGGACGACAACAACCAATGAATGAATATCTCACTCGTGAAAAGACAAACTGCAGAAGTAGCAGACTTCTTTGACATGCGGAGTTTGAGAGGTCCCAGAAACCCTTAACCTTTAACCCCTAAGTTTCGGAGCTCAAAAGCAGCCCTCATGGTAACCTCAGAGTACAACAACGTGCATGATTTTCCCGGTCAAGGTCTGCAGACGATCCCTCGCGGCACCAAGATTCAAGCAGATGGCCCATTAGCCCGCCACCCCTTGAAGTTACTTATCCCTCCTTTTAAAAGCAACCCCCAAAGAACCCCTGGGTCCTTCTTTGTTGGCAATCTCCATCAAGGAGAGGTGGTCCAGATCCTCGGGAAAGGGCCAGTGGAGACCCCTGATGGATGTAGGGGCCTGAACAATCGGAACACGGATTTAGGGCACAGTGGACCTTTCCCTGTATAGGGAAGCGTAGGGGCCTTTTTCGGGGATACGTCTTGCTAACTCTTCAGACACAGCTTTACCCTAGGGTCCCCATAATCCTCATTCAAGTCTTCAGCGCACTCGAAGACAAGCACCATAGGCCCCATTAACGTTACACGGGATCTTATGAAGCCCACTGAGAGTCTCCATTCGGGTCATGTGCTCGACAGGAAAAGATGGGAAGATGGGGACAGGAGGATCGCCTGGGGCCCAAGTCTCCCAAACTGCTGGGAGCAGGAGAACTGAGGCTCTGAGGCTCTGAAAAGACCACAGCTCGAAGGGTCGGTGTGAGGTTTAGGGCGTTCAGGGTTCTTGTGGGTGTGCGGCCTAAGGCGTGCAAGTTGTGGTTCTGGGCTTGTGAGATTGGGGTCGAGGTAGGGTTGATTGGTTTAGGCTTCCAGAAAGCCTGCCTAGCTGCTTAGCCGGGTTGCGGTTAAGGGAGGTTCTTGAGTGTTCAAGTAGTGCCAAGAACAAGGACAAGCCCATGGCTTGCTACATGGGCCTGTTTGATGCAGCATTGACCCATGTGGCAATCTGAGTTCATCGCGAGGATGTTTGTTCTGTTCTTCTCCGTTTACAGAAGACCTGCGTGCACCATACAGGGGGGCTGATGAGGGACTTCGCCTGTCCCAAGCACTCAAGCACTCATGCTGGACCCATTCGCCGACAACCCAAATCCTGCCCTAAGCCCTGCCCCAAATCCCAATCCTTGCCTGCCTTCTGTCTGAGTCACAATTTGTCTGACTCTGGGGTCGTCGCGCCATCGCCCCCGAATAGGGCATTGATGTCGCCGACCCAGCGCCACTGCCTTGTCGGTTGAAGCTTGGGGGACTTTGGGCAGCTTAGGGTTTGACAACTCAGGGTCTTGGTGATAAGGGTGTAGGGTTTGGTCCTTGGCATACCGATCCTTGTCCCTCTGCTCCCAACAAGACGATACGAAATCCTGATCACTCACCCGCTCGCCGCTCGACCCTCTGGGAACATGACCTGATGCAAAAGACGAGAAACTGGTCGGGACCCAACAGCCTCGAAACCCAAACCCTGCACTACACCCTATATCCTAAATTTGTTTAACGAGGGCCTCTGAACCCTTGCCCCGGTGCTAGTCTGCGTGTGTGTGTGCGTGTGCTTTGGCACTGCTTGTCTACTGCTGTTACATGTGACTCTATGTTGTTGATTTGTTTCTATCAGCTGTTGTCATGGATGGAAAAGCAGTCTTTATTAAAAAGAACAAGCTTGTTCGATCAAGCGCCACGTCGCCTACCTGGTCGTATCCCTACTTGACCTGAAGCGACGGACCCAGAAAGCTGAGGAAGATGCCCTGTCACTCGGCAGAAGTCGTCGTAGTCGACCTCGCCCGGAAGACAAAGGCTGCTACAAGCAGGAGCTCTCTAGTAGATGGCATCGGCAGTACAGAGGTTCGTGTTGTTCCAGAGGCTGCTATGTCTGATACTGCTATACTGCTAATGGACATAAAGCGGCCTGATAAGGACCAATGTCGTCGTTCGGAGGGTGCATTGGCTCACATCCGACTTAGCCAAACCCCAGCCTCAACCGGAGTCCCAGAAACCCTCCTTCTTAAACAACCGGCACAACAACGATGACAATGTACATGATGGCCGCAACGAGTTGCAACAATAGTTAAGGAAACTCATCACACTTTTCCTCA